GTCTGGGCATTACTTAAACCCTCTTGCTAAGCCATTTCTTCCTAGCACTTTCACTTTACATAGGACTTCCCACCAACATACAATCTAGTGATAAAGTGCACTGGATGAATATGAGCTTTTCTTGAACGTGCAGGACATGAAGTTACATTGGTATCATAGCATGACGGAAAGAAGGCACTTGCTTGTGACTAGTTCTAAAGAAATTACATTGAAATCAAATAGCTCATGCTAACATATGCCTGATCTATACCCTCAATTATGTGAAGTAGATGGATTTTTTAAATTATTTTGCTTTGCCCCGGTAACCATCTTGTAACTAAACTAAGCTTACCAACTGCCTTCTGTCACCAGTCACACCTGAAGTGCAGATCACACTTCTCATTGCAGGCACCCTGTTGGGTCAGAACAATGGCCTCTGGAGGAGTCCTTTTCCATCAACTGTAGAAAGAGTGATCTGGATGTTGCAGAAATAAAGATTAGTGTGTTCTTTTAAAAAATGGTTAGTATTTTTTAATTTAGTGGTGATTTAACACAGATAAAATTATAATGACAAAGTCTTCAGAGACAAGCAATGACAACTTTGCAGTTCCTTTCATAACCAAGTACGTGACCTGCAAAAAAACATGTAGAATATGTAAATGCATATAGATCAGTTTGGGAGGTTTTGTTACCATTTCTGTTCGAGAGCCTTGGTCTAAACCCTGATTCCCCCTGTAACTAACAGCAGCATTCCAGCTATCTTCAGGACTACTGGAAGTTGCTCCACTGAGATATGCTGTGCTCAAGGTCAGATACCTCCTGCTAAAGTTAAAGAAAGTTATGCACGCAAACTGAAATTATGGTGCGACTGAAAGCTACTTTCTGAAGTTATTAGATAAATGAAAAAGTTCACAAAATCACCTAGAAAGCTTCCTTTCAGAGGAAGCCCCATGAGTCCTCTTGTCTCCTATTGTTTAGTTTTTAAAAGAATGTTACCATGTTTGAGGGGTGATTTGCATTTGACAGCAAGAGCCTGTTTAAACCTGAATGCTGCTGGGCTGTCATTTCCTTCACAAACAATGGTGATGTTGCTCATTTTGTATATTACCACAATATGGGTTGGTTTTGGGAGATGTTTAGAAAGCCTGTTCTATGCTTTGCAAAGGGAAGACAAATGGTGTCTATGCTATGCTATACCATACAATACCATACCATACCATACCATACCATACCATACCATACCATACCATACCATACCATACCATACCATACCATACCATACCATACCATACCATACCATACCATACCATACCATACCATACCATACCATACCATACCATACCATACCATACCATACCATACCATACCATACCATACCATACCATACCATACCATACATGTTCAACAAGGCTCTGAAAAGTGAAACTTGAAATTTGCAATGCACTTATATAAATGTGTGGGCTTTCAGTTCTCCAAATCAGCAGTCATCCCTTTGATAAGAAATTGGTGACTGATTGATGTGTTTGACAAATGTTTAATAGGCAACTATGTAAGAACATCTTCATACATAGAATATGAAGCCTTAGGATGCTTTGATATTTGATTTCAGATACAAGAATTCTTACTGTAGTTGTTATTCAACACCTTTATTTTGTTTATCATTATTATGTGATTCACAAGTAGTACTCTTAAAATCTTGGTGTTTTCTACTGTGGTTAATTATGCATTTCAGCTCTGACTTTGCAAAGAGCCAAGTACACATTTAACTTCAGGCATGTGAGCAGTTTCATAAGCTTTCCAAGACCAAGGTTTATAATTGTGTCAAGAATATCACTCAGGTTTTGTTTACAGCTCCCTCCAAATTCTAAGTTTATCCTACATAACAGTAAGTACAAACTTCTGAATCTTACACAAGATTTACAGACATTTCACAGGCACCATAAATAATGATATAAAGTAAAATACAGGTATCTATTTTTAAAAAAACAGTCAAAGGGATCCTACAGACTTTAAGCATATTGCCTGAGGAGCAATATTCAACTACAGTATTCTAATAAAAGCAAGCACAAGATGGAAAGCAAATTATATCTGGATGAAAACAGTTACTTGGATAAGAAGAAATTCTGCAAGCATGTTAAATGATAACAAAGGATTCAAAGGAACCTATTTATAAAATGGGAGGATTGCATTATGACAAAGATTTTGCTGAATTTACATTGGAGAAGCATGGAGAATGCTTTGATGTTTCAGAAATTACAGTTTCTTTGCCACTTTGCCTAGGCTATTCTGAATTATGAAAAAGTCATTCAGTAAAAAAGAAATAAAAATAAAATAAAAGCCAAATCATAGATGGTGATATGAACAAGGATTGCAGAAACAATACTGATTAATGGAAAAAGTGGACAAAAAGGTCAAGGGAAACCTTGCACTGTAGCAGGCCTACAGAATTAATGACAACTCTTAATCATACCCTATTAACTTCAAAATGGTATCTGATGGAGCCAAACAGTGTCAACGACAGAAATTCCTGCCCAGTGGACTTGGGAGGAGTCAGCAGACAGGATTCTGCCTGTGATTGTGAAAGAAGTAAGTTTTCTGGAGGAAAATCAAAATAAATCCACCTTCCAACCCCTTCAGAATTGTAACATGTTACTAAAAATTTACTAGCACACAACATCAGTTTCACATCTGTTCCATGTATAATTCCAAACTATTTCTTCAATCACTCTATGAACCTAGGGTACAACTAAGCTTTAATCATAAGTTTAACATTTGCTAATAACTTTTAAAAATAATCTTCAGCCATACTTCTTGAAAATTCTGAAAAGAAAAGTTCTGAGGACCAACTACATATTTTTCATTCCTGTTTCCATTTTGGGAAACATCTGAGTAATGACTAAAACACAGAGTCATGGGCTGCTTTGAGAACAGCCAACTCCCCCGGTGCCGGGGTCTTCCAAAGCTGTACAGAGTCCACAGGCAGCAAATCCACTGGCCACAAAATCCAAGTCCACTGGCAAAGTTCATCCCTCCTGGCACCTTTAGGAAATGTTCCAACACATTCCTCCACGAGCGCAGGGGCACAGCTGCCTTCTCACCATGGGTTGCAGGGAAACTTGTGCTTGGGCACCTTCTTCTCCTTCTTCCTCACCAACCACCAGCTCTGCTCTTCTCCACCCAACACAGCTCTTCTTCTCCAAGTGCTTCTCTGCTCCCATGTTATATCAACTCTTTCGTATCTTAATCGCTGCACCTATTGTCCCTCTAGTGGCTCCTTGGCTGGTTTTGGAAGCAGGGGGAGCTTCTCAGCTTCTTACCAGAGCCACTCCTGGGGCCTTTCCCCCCGTCACCCAAAACCCCACCAAATCAAACCAGAACAGTGCCAGAAATTCAAAGAAAATCAGTCAGAAGAACAAGTGATTCAGTGATATAAGACATTCTTTTCCAGCAGCATGGTCCTGTTTATGAAACTGTGATCCCTGAGTGGTATGGCAATGCAAGATACAAGGAGGTAGGGAAAAGGTAAGCTTTTGTATTGGTTTGCTTTGATCCTGAAAACACAACTTCCAAGCTATGTTTGCCCAGGAATATCTAACCAAGTGCAATAAACTGCCTGTCTAGTCCCTTTCTTCAGCACACGTGTAGGCTCAAGTTTGCAAAGAGTTAAAATGCAGACTGTTTAAAGATCCATCCCGGCTCAGCAAGGAAGCTTTCCAAGATCAAAGAAGGGATTTTATTATATTTTTAAGAAAGAAATCAAATAGAGAGTGAGATTATTCTCTTTATCAGCAGGGATGCAGGCATCCAACTTAGTAGAGGCAGAAAGTGTCTCTGTTCTTGTCTTCAGATGTTATCATGTTTTGTAAAACAAATATTATTCATTACTTTGTTTATTTTGTATGTATTTCTTTATTGGGTTTAGTTTAACAAAGATTGCATTAGAAGGAAGAAAATTATTTCTGTAATTACACTTTAATAAAAATTAATTGCTCTTAAATTACATATAATGACTCCAGCTAGCAGATAATGAAAGAGAAAGCAACAGCAAGAGAAACAACAAATAATCTAGGTACACAGGTTATATTTCAAAAAGAAAAGACCAGGAATGTGCAGATTTTAATTATGATAAATGTTTTAGCATCTGACCTTCAGCTATTTGTTTTACGGACTGTTGGAACTTATATTAACCACAACAGAAGAAAGTGTTTGGGTGAATTAACAGAGAAGCATTGTATAACCTAAGAAATCAGGAGTTTCACATTCTGAATGGCAAGATGTCACATTTTACAGGACCAGTAAGCAAAATTTTCTTTAGTTATTTTTTTTAAGTCCATTTTTACTGTTTGCATCTACAATCAAATTGTATGGAGAAATGTGTGATTCCTTCTTAATTTCATTGCCACTGAATTCTGTTTTGGAAATCACAACTTTAAGAGGATCTGGATTTATCTTCCCCAAGCTCAACACCCATCCAAAATAAGGGCTTGTTATGAGATATACAAATCCATTATCAAAACTTTCAGTTTATATTAAAATTTATTTCTTCATTTCAGGTTAGACTCCCCAGCTATGTCTTGGTATGCTGGATGATGCTAGGAAACATGCTTAGCCACTAGAACATAATTATTTATATATTACTACTCAGCTGTCCAGATAGTTCCTGGCATGCTCCAGCCCAAGCTCACCAGCACTGTTCCAAGAAACTCTTGATAACTGTTCAGTAGCTGGAAAGGATCAGACACTATTTCCAAAAGACAGGTAACACATTTACTCTGTTCTGGAAGCTAAAAATAATTTCCTGTGTAAAGACTATTTAATAACATGGTCAATGAATGTGGTCATAAATGCTAGTTGGTCTCAGCTCCTGAGATGTTTTACTTTACAAATATACTTATAACCACCATGTCAGGCAACATTTGCATTTGACTCTTTTCTGGATGTGTTGAAAAGGCCTGAGAGCTGAAGTAGGTTTCTTACTAGAGCATCTTGCTGTACCAGAAAATATTTATGTTCTTTCCGGAATGCCTGTCCACAAAGGTGAACTCATACTTCCAGTGGAAAGCAAATGGACTGTTACAGTAACCATCGGCTGCTTTTATGAACGCTGTGTTGTTGATGCTGCCTTAATTTTCTTTGGGAAAGGTAATTCACTTCTCCCCAGGAAAACTGGAGGCTCTACCTTGCAAAAAGGAAAAATATCATCTAATAGTCCCAGGAATTGCTTTGCCTCTCTGATCTCCTGCAAACTTGCTGGCTCCTTGGCTGGTTTTGGAAGCAGGGGGAGCTTCTCAGCTTCTTACCAGAGCCACTCCTGGGGCCTTTCCCCCCGTCACCCAAAACCCCACCAAATCAAACCAGAACAGTGCCAGAAATTCAAAGAAAATCAGTCAGAAGAACAAGTGATTCAGTGATATAAGAGATTCTTTTCCAGCAGCATGGTCCTGTTTATGAAACTGTGATCCCTGAGTGGTATGGCAATGCAAGATACAAGGAGGTAGGGAAAAGGTAAGCTTTTGTATTGGTTTGCTTTGATCCTGAAAACACAACTTCCAAGCTATGTTTGCCCAGGAATATCTAACCAAGTGCAATAAACTGCCTGTCTAGTCCCTTTCTTCAGCACACGTGTAGGCTCAAGTTTGCAAAGAGTTAAAATGCAGACTGTTTAAAGATCCATCCCGGCTCAGCAAGGAAGCTTTCCAAGATCAAAGAAGGGATTTTATTATATTTTTAAGAAAGAAATCAAATAGAGAGTGAGATTATTCTCTTTATCAGCAGGGATGCAGGCATCCAACTTAGTAGAGGCAGAAAGTGTCTCTGTTCTTGTCTTCAGATGTTATCATGTTTTGTAAAACAAATATTATTCATTACTTTGTTTATTTTGTATGTATTTCTTTATTGGGTTTAGTTTAACAAAGATTGCATTAGAAGGAAGAAAATTATTTCTGTAATTACACTTTAATAAAAATTAATTGCTCTTAAATTACATATAATGACTCCAGCTAGCAGATAATGAAAGAGAAAGCAACAGCAAGAGAAACAACAAATAATCTAGGTACACAGGTTATATTTCAAAAAGAAAAGACCAGGAATGTGCAGATTTTAATTATGATAAATGTTTTAGCATCTGACCTTCAGCTATTTGTTTTACGGACTGTTGGAACTTATATTAACCACAACAGAAGAAAGTGTTTGGGTGAATTAACAGAGAAGCATTGTATAACCTAAGAAATCAGGAGTTTCACATTCTGAATGGCAAGATGTCACATTTTACAGGACCAGTAAGCAAAATTTTCTTTAGTTATTTTTTTTAAGTCCATTTTTACTGTTTGCATCTACAATCAAATTGTATGGAGAAATGTGTGATTCCTTCTTAATTTCATTGCCACTGAATTCTGTTTTGGAAATCACAACTTTAAGAGGATCTGGATTTATCTTCCCCAAGCTCAACACCCATCCAAAATAAGGGCTTGTTATGAGATATACAAATCCATTATCAAAACTTTCAGTTTATATTAAAATTTATTTCTTCATTTCAGGTTAGACTCCCCAGCTATGTCTTGGTATGCTGGATGATGCTAGGAAACATGCTTAGCCACTAGAACATAATTATTTATATATTACTACTCAGCTGTCCAGATAGTTCCTGGCATGCTCCAGCCCAAGCTCACCAGCACTGTTCCAAGAAACTCTTGATAACTGTTCAGTAGCTGGAAAGGATCAGACACTATTTCCAAAAGACAGGTAACACATTTACTCTGTTCTGGAAGCTAAAAATAATTTCCTGTGTAAAGACTATTTAATAACATGGTCAATGAATGTGGTCATAAATGCTAGTTGGTCTCAGCTCCTGAGATGTTTTACTTTACAAATATACTTATAACCACCATGTCAGGCAACATTTGCATTTGACTCTTTTCTGGATGTGTTGAAAAGGCCTGAGAGCTGAAGTAGGTTTCTTACTAGAGCATCTTGCTGTACCAGAAAATATTTATGTTCTTTCCGGAATGCCTGTCCACAAAGGTGAACTCATACTTCCAGTGGAAAGCAAATGGACTGTTACAGTAACCATCGGCTGCTTTTATGAACGCTGTGTTGTTGATGCTGCCTTAATTTTCTTTGGGAAAGGTAATTCACTTCTCCCCAGGAAAACTGGAGGCTCTACCTTGCAAAAAGGAAAAATATCATCTAATAGTCCCAGGAATTGCTTTGCCTCTCTGATCTCCTGCAAACTTGCAAAAAAGCATTAGGACTATTGTTTGACTCTGGGTGTTACCCAATAGAGGCACATTCTTCAATCTGAGCAAAGAAAACAGCAAGATCTAGATATTCTATATCTTCTATATCTTCTATATATTCTATATATGCCAAAGTAGAAAAAATATTGCCAGTAAAGCAAAAATACTGTTTTCTGTTGGTCTGTAGTGAAGAAATTGATGGAACAGCTGTGTTTCATGCTTTCATCTGAAAAGAACCTTTTAGCATCACTGGATAGATGAAAGACCATGGTTTTTATTTACTCTTTTTCCAAAAGAGTGTCAATTGTTTTGAGGAGGGTGTGTAATAAGGTTTATGGGGAAAAATAGAAGTTACTGTTAAGTAAGATCTGCATTTTTTGCCAAGATTCCTGTGAGTTCGGAAAAAACAATCAGATTTGCATATTTTAAATTTCCTTGGCTTTACATTTTTTGATGTGTCAACTGCATGGTTAACAAAATAGTTAGACAGCTAGTTTTTGAGGGCTCTACAATTTATAGGAACCACTCATGAAACAGATAAATCTGCAGAACTTCAGTTGCTGGCTTTCCTAGGCTCTGGAAAGTTAATCTCTCTCTGGAGAGATAATTCACTTTCTTTTCAGTTGCAACTATGAATGGTCTTTTTATCCAATGTGAAACCAGAAAGTCCTCAATGTGTTAAACATGGGTAAATTATACAGTTGTTCCAGCATTTATGGTGTTGTTGCATACTGAAATGTGTAAAGTAAAGGATATGTAATATCTGCAACATTTTAATATCATACTAATCTTTTTTTTTTTTTTTTTTTTTTTTTGCATTTAAGAGTGTTGCCTTATCCAAAGCAGAGATTTTCACAGAGCTATTATGCCCTAGACACACACAGGACAACTCTATTGCTCATTATTGAAATTGTTTTTCATCATGACAAATTCCACAGAGTAGAGGGAGGCAGGGAGTGCGTGGGGTCTTCAATGTTTATTTTGAACTGCAGTAAATCACATTATCCCTCTGAGTTTAACTGTGGTAGCATAAATGAAGGAAAGTCTTTTCCATTTTCTGCTTCATTCTTAAGGACACAATATGAGTGTACACAGCCTGAATAAGTGTTTTAATGCATACTTAAAAACTTTCACAAGCATGAGCTTGAGGTTTAAGCTGAAGCTTTAGTTCATAAGCCATCCAGTTACTTTGTCTACATCGAAGTTTGAAAAGGCTTTTCCTTAACAAATGTGCCTTCTGACTATAATTTATTCTGTGCATCAGTGAGAAAATTACTGCTTGTCATCTGTTGTTGCATGTTTTCATGTCGTTGTTTTGTCATCTGCTGTTCAGATGAACTGGTGTAATTAAAAAAAGGTATAACTGTTAAAGTTTTTAACTGTCAAATTCAGGCTTCAGTCAGAATTTGTCCTTTAGCACACTTAACTTGAGACTCTGAACATTTTCTGGTTTCTCTTTCACACTTTTTTAGGTTATTTTATTCTTTAGGTATGACATATTCTGCAAGTAATCTGCCTCTGATGTATTCAAAGGATACAAAATCACATCTGCATACATTACTTGCACAGGAAAATATATTTACATTAAAATAAGGATTTTATCTTTTTTTATGTATAAGAAGGTTTAAACTTCTGTTTATCTAATTACCCAACAGATTTCTATCTTCACAGAACTACATAGTTGGTTCTTCAATATTCAGTCATGTAATCCTTCCTGTGTGCTCAGTTACCTGTTTTAGAATTTTTTTTCCTCTGATTTCCTTTACTTACCAGTAAGCACATAGCTAACCATTAAAACAAGGTTATTGATATCACAATTACATCTGGTATGGAAATGCTTAAAAGTGCCATTGAAACAGTAGTTTCCTAGCCTGTATTTCAAGTATACAGTAGTTTTGCTGTTTCTTGCAGCCTAGTGCCATAGTTACTAAAATATCCCAGGTTTCCCAGTACATTGTATGTAACCGAGGTTTCAGCAGATTCCTTTTATGCAAGTATGTCTCACTTACATTTGCCCCAGCAAGGCAAGACAAGTTCTACCAAAGCACCTGCATCATCAGTAAGCACTGGCTACTCCTACCTGTCTACAGTCTGCTCCCATACAAGGACCTTGTGAAAGGCTCACATGTGTCCTTGAGTTACAAAGGACTGAGTGTCATAAACAGAACAGGTGCTTAGGAAACTGGAAGAGGACATAAAATGGTTTTCTGACATCCACATTTGAGGATATTCAATGCATGTCACTGCTTTCTTCATTTTGTCTTGATACCATGTTTTCACTCCAAGACACGTTTCTAAGAGCTGATGTGAGGCAGCTTGAGAAGGGAAAGTGCAGCTTCATTTCCCCATTGGATGGCTTTGCTGCACAAATAGCAAGATTTGATCCTCTTGTTTAACTACTGGGATTACAGGAGCACCTTCTACAAGAGTTACTCCTACAAAAACAGCTGAAGAGAGCCCTTTGGCCTGAACAACCAGCTGACCTCAGAGCTCTGCCTAGGACAGGATAGGGTAGGATACAGGATAAGATAGGATACAGGATAGGATGCAGGATAGGATGGGACAGGATAGGATACAGGATAGGGTAGGGTAGGGTAGGGTAGGGTAGGGTAGGGTAGGGTAGGGTAGGGTAGGATAGGATAGGATAGGATAGGATAGGATAGGATAGGATAGGATAGGATAGGATAGGATAGGATAGGATAGGATAGGATAGGATAGGATTTTCAGTTGGAAAGTACCTACAATGACCATCTAATACAACTGCTTGACTTCTTCAGGGCTGACAAAAATGCCAGATTACTTCCAAGAACAGTATTGCTTACACATTCTACATATCTCCATGCCTCATTTCCTGAACAATTTAGAATAAGCACAGGTAAGAATTTGCTTGTTCTAAGTTCCTGACCAGACCCTACTTGTCCCAGGGAATGCAGTACCTGAGATTACCTGTGGTTAAACTGGGGCTGGCTTCACTAGTAGTTTTAGCATAGATGGTGGTGATATTTCATCATTAACCTTTTCAAAATAGTGTTACTGTGTCAAGCACAATTTTGAGATCATTATATCAGATGTCTGAAAAAATCATATGCAGGTTTCCAAGTACTGTGTATATAAATACTGGAAGATAGAAGAATTCAAGAAGAATCTTGTAAGACATGGAAACAAGTACAAGAAAGAGAGGAGAACAGAGAGATGCAACAGGAAATAAAAAAAGGAAAAAACATGAGACAGTTAAGAAAGGAATATAATTTTCTCAGAAATTACTAGAGATTTTCAGAATGTTTAGATTTGGCTTCTTCAAACTTTACATTGTCAAAGAACCTTGATTTAATGGAAAAGTATTTACTCGTCCTTGAAATTTGTTTTGAAGTTGCTTCTGATTAAGTAAACAATACAAAGCAAGCAAAGTCACTTGTCACTTTTGAGTTACTGAGCTCTAAAATCTTCTCTAAAACAAGGAGAGGCTGCATAAAACAAATAATAAGGAAACAGAAAATTGTTAGCTATTAAAATATAAAACGAGAGAGAAAAGAAACAGATATTGCATTAGGTTTAACATATTATCTGTTTACCAGTGTACAAAATAAGGTTTTAAAAGAATATCACTAACCCATATTTGATGATGAAGAAATTATATTTTCAGTTTCATAGAACTTGCTCTTAGTGTCTGCAGACTGGAAATTAAGTTGCATCATTCTTAAACTACCATCAAACTAAGTGCTAATCTACCATTTCCAATCTGGGATAGCAGATTACATGCAGGCCCTTACATTTGAGCATATGTAGAGTATTAGTTACTTGTAAAAAAACAAGTGAATATATTTATTGATCATCCTTCTTATATCAGTGGCCTTGATTTTTTTTTTTTCTTAGAGGGCCAACACACATAAGGTAGGCCAAATGTATTTTCTTTGTGAAGCAGATTGTCAGCCCTATTTTACTAGTAAATTTACTAGTCCTGTCCTTTGGCAGCCAATAAGAGCACTTGCTTCTATCAAAATATTCCTACTAGCAGCCAAAGTCAATATTTAGGACACAGATTGCTGATTGGCTTATTCACAGTCCTTTCTCAGGCCTTCCAATCAGCTTTAGAGACACAGGAAAAATATAACTGAAAAAATTAAATGAATGGATAAAAAAAAAAAAGGGGGGG